TCTTTTGTAAAGGAACATACTAGGGCCATCAAGGTCGAAACCAGGAAGTTGAACCTTTTCAAGGTAAGACAAAAGGACAATGAGATGCTTAGAAAGTTCGTGTCTCAATTCCAAATGGAACATATGGACTTTCCACCGGTCGCCGATGATTGGGTTGTTCAAGCCTTCACTCAAGGTCTCAATGTTTGAAGTTCAGTGGCTTCATAGCAGTTGAAGAAGAATTTGATAGAATACACAGCTGTCATTTGGGCCGATGTGCACAATCGGTATCAGCCGAAGATCAGAGTCGAGGACGATCAACTTGGGGCCCCTTCCGGGTCTGTTTATCCAATCAGAACTGTCGATAGAGTTAAAAGGGATATTGATCAAGAACCAAGGTCAAACAGAGATCAGTACTAGCCGTATAGTGGAGATCGCAGGAATAGCGGACCTGGGCGGAATCCTGTACGGAATGAAAGGAGAAATGATCGAACTCAGAGCTCTCGAGGGATCATGAGCAAGAGCGGCTTCGACAAGCCTATCGGACCCAATGAAGCACCTCGGTTATCAGAATACAACTTTAATGTCGACGCAACCGCCATCGTATCACCTATCGGATGCATCACGGATACTAGATGGCCTCGACCTCTGCAAACTGATCCAACTAGAAGAGATCCCAACCAAAGGTGCGAATATCATGGCAGCCATGGCCACAGAACAGAAGATTGTCGGCAATTAAGAGAAGAAGTAGCCCGGTTATTCAACAACGGGCATCTTCGGGAGTTTTTGAGTGACCGAGCTAAGAATCACTTCAAAAACAGGGACTCCAACAAACAAAATGAACAAGACGAACCCCAACATGTCATCCATATGATCATCGGAGGAGTCGATGTTCCTCAAGGTCCAATGTTTAAGTGCACCAAAGTATCAATCACGGGGGAAAAATTAACTCGAGATTACATGCCAGAAGGGACTTTGTTTTTCAGTGACGAGGATGCGGAAGGAATCACACAGCCCCATAATGATGCACTGGTAATATCTGTACTCACAAATAAAACTCGAGTTAAACGTGTGCTAATTGATCCAGGTAGCTTGACCAATATCATTCGATCGAGGGTCGTAGAATAACTCGGCCTACAGGATCAGATCGTACTCGCGGCCCGAGTGCTAAATGGATTCAACCTGGCTTGCGAAATTACTAAGGGAGAAATAACGTTGCCAATAAACGTAGCCGGTACCACCCAGGAGACCAAGTTTTATGTAATCGAGAGGGACATGAGATACAACGCCCTCTTCGGAAGACTATGGATCCACAACATGAGGGTCGTGCCCTCGACCCTTCACTAGGTATTAAAGTTTCCAACACCAGAGGGGACAAAGACGGTTTACGGAGAACAACCCACCGCAAAGGAGATGTTTGCCGTCGATGAATTAATTCCAATATCAACACTCTCATCGACAAAGGACTCATGTTCCAAAACGAAACAGGAAGCCATAGCAATCATCGATGCCAGCCTCGACCCAACAAAATGAATAGAGGACTAACGAAGACGATGATTACGGGGTTCCTCGGTCCTTCATAGTCCCTAATGATTCCGACGCTACCAAATCGATAGTCGAAGAGCTGGAGCAAGTCACACTGATCGAGCATCAGCCCGATAAAAAGGTATACCTGGGCACGGGGTTAACCCCCGAGCTCAGGAAAAAACTTATTCAATTTCTTATAACTAACATGGATTGTTTTGCCTGGTCCCACCTCTATGTGATAGGAATCCCACCAGAAATCACCGCCCATAAATTAAGTTGGACCCAAAGCTCCATTCGGTGAAGCAGAAAAGAAGACCTTAGTCCGAGGTGAAGCACGCCTTCATCAAAGACGAGGTAACCAAGCTTCTTAAAATAGGGTCCATCCGGGAAGTAAAATACCCGAATGGTTAGCAAACGTAGTAGTAGTCCCTAAGAATGGGAACAAACTTAGAATGTGTGCAGATTACAAGGATTTAAATAAAGCATGCCCTAAGGATCCTCTTCCTCTGCCTAATATCGATCGCATGATCGATGCCACGGCCGGCCATGAGATCCTTAGTTTTCTCGATACCTACTCTGGGTACAACCAAATTCAAATGGACCCGGATGACCAGGAAAAAAACTTGTTCATCTCTAAATATAGTACCTATTGTTATAACGTAATGCTATTTGGGTTAAAAAATGCTGGTGCCACTTACCAACGCCTAGTAATCCGGATGTTCGAAAAATAAATAGGGAAATCAATGGAAGTTTACATTGATGATATGTTAGTTAAGTCCCTGCGAGTAGAGGACCATTTGAAGCATTTCCACGAAACCTTTAGTATATTGAAGAAGTACAACATGAAGCTGAATCCGAAAAAATGCGCATTCGGAGTCGGATCAGGTAAGTTACACGGGTTCATGGTACCCAACCGAGGGATTGAGATCAACTCCGACAAGATCAAAGCAATCGAGGACATCACGGTAGTAGACAACATAAATGTCGTACAGAGGTTAACCGGGCGCATAGCGGCCCTGGGGCGATTCATCTCGAGGTCCTCCGATAAGAGTCATCGATTTTTCTCGTTGTTGAAGAAGAAAAATAACTTCACATAGACTCCAGAATGCCAATTGGCCTTGTAAGAGCTTAAACGATACTTATCGAGCCCGCTGATAAGTAGGGATTTTAACTACTTATTTGCAATCTTTTACTTGCGTTTTAGCTCAAAAATGCTTAAAGGTATTCCCGAGAACTGATAAAATGTGCTTACTTGCAGGATTATTAGAAAATGAGCCAAAGAGATGAAAATCAACTCAAAAAGGAGTAATTTTGGACAAGGACTAAAATAAAGCAAAAAAGAGCAAAATGCAGACTGCACAATATTGTGTGCGGCCGCAGACTATGAAGACTCCTCTTCAGATTTTCTATGCAAAGTGCGGATCGCACATCTGCGACCGCACATAATATTGTGCAGTTCGCACTTTGCTCTTTTTTGCTTTGTTTTAGTCCTTGTCCAAAATTACTCCTTCTTGAGTTGATTTTCATCTCTTTGGATCATTTTCCAATAATCCTGCAAGTAAGCACATTTTATCAGTTCTTGGGAATACCTTTAAGCATTTTTGAGCTAAAACTCAAGCAAAAGAAAGTGCAAATAAGTAGTCAAAATCCCTATTTATCAACTCCCCCAAACTTAAGTGTTTGCTTGTCCTCAAGCAAATAAGGTAATTCCCACCTCCACAAGAAAAGGTCTATTTCAGCTAGCCTAAGGTGAATCAAACACAGCTCAATTGGGACCAACAATTACTCACAACACTTATGAATTATCAACAAAGCAATGATTTGACTTTTCAAGTACAATAGTTTAAATGTGACACTAGCATCAAGAGTTGACTTTATTCATCAAGGAAGCTCGCTCTTTCATATAGGTCATTGTGGATTCCAAACTCCTCCTCCTCTACTCTCCGTTAGCATATCTCACTTAAGAATGTAGCACTCAATCCAATGATTTGTGAAAAGTTCGCTCATCTCTCCCAAAAGAATGTCACAAGTACGGCTCTAAATACCATATGCTTGCCCCACATGTAAATCACAACTAATGTAAGCTCACTCGACTTGAAATCATGTAGGGCTTTTTCAGGATGTAATGAAGGCTTTTGGACTAAGGTAGGATTTGTTGGAATATAATGGGTTAATCTTTCCTTAAGCACTCCATTTTCTCTTTTTGGCTCATACTTTGTCGACTCTTTGAGTTATTTTCTTTTTCAGTAATGTCACTCTTTCTTGGCCATGATATTCATTTTCTCCTTCATCGTTTACTCCAAACCTTTCATCCTTGTTTTTCTTTGAATCCTTTCAACTCTTTACTTTATTCACTTTCTTTTTGACATTTTTCTTTTTGTTCTTTTTTTTTTCTTTTCTTTGCCTTCCCTTTTCTTTATTTCTTTCCTCTTCTTTGTACCTTTATATCACTTTCAAACTCCTCGTCTCTCCCTCAAACTTATGTTTTAGCCAATTGTTTCTCAAGAATGCTAAGGAAAGATCGGGTGCCAAGAGAGGGTCATTACAAAACGGATAAAGGCTTGTAACGTGGTTATTAAATTAAAAAGGGCTTAGGCTCAAATGGGTTGACTAGGAATATCACATTGGTAGGCTATGAAAAATTTCAAATTGAATCAAGGTGAACCTACAATCATTTCTCAAGCTAAGCCAAACTTAGAATTTCGCCTAGAAAAACATTGGGGGCAAGTTCTAGACTATTAGCACAGGTACTTTTTTTTTAATTTTTATTTTATTTTTTACTTTACCTTTATTTTTTTATTTTTTTATTTTTTTATTCACTGCCATTCCACCTTTTTTTTTCTTCATTTTACTTTACCTATTTTTTATTTTTTATTTTTTATTCTTTTTCTCTTTTTTTTTTCTTTTCTTTTTTCTGTTATTTTTATTTTTTTTAAATTTTTTTTTGCAAAAAAATGGCGAACGAAGAAGCACAGACATCCGGTCCGGTGGATCCTCTCAACGACCTCATCGGACTCTCTCTATCACCCAAAACAATTACTGTTTACACAGATGTATCAGTAGACCGTAAAGACCTCGACTCAGTTCATAATTTCATGAAATCCTAGGTAACTTTTTCTTTATTTTATTTCCTTTATATACTAGTTCTAGCTCTATTATAGATCTGATCAGTTAATTTAAAGTGATAATATCGTTCCAATTTATTTCGCTATTCTTCAATTCGTTTGTGCGAACTCCAACTTCAACTTAAAATTAGTAAAATTCACTTTGTACTATATGCAAAATTTACAAATTCACTTTACCTTCAGCTTGGAAATTTTCACGACTTTATTTATTTATTTTATAGAATGGAGTTCATTTTTATTTTTCATTTTTTTGTCTATGTTTTAGTATTTGATCGACTATGAGAAACCTGGATTTCTCTTGGTGATTGTATGTGACAACATAAATAGTGCAATTTGTCCATTTGATTTTCATTGATTTGGTTTGGTTAGTTAGTTTGATTTTTGAATCCTGTCCTGTTCATAAAGTTTTGTTCCTTCATTATTATGATCATAAAAGGAACTCAAGAGCGCGGCCGCACTCATAATTGTGCGGTCCGCAGAAACTGAAGAAGTGCGGCAGCGGCCCAGAATTGTGCGGCCGCAAAGTCCTTCCTGTCAAGCCAACACCAAAGTGCGCACTGCACACAGAATTGTGCGGGCGCAGAAACTCCGCAGGGGCAATTTTGTTCGATAATTTCAGCTGGTATAAATAGTTCTTTTTCTCAAATTTAGGACAAGTTTGAACATCAGAAATTAGATAGCCATTTTTTCTTTACTGCTTTGGGTAACTTTGTAATAGTTTATTATTTTAATATTATATTTTCTTCCCTTTATCATTTATTATGAGTCTAATCTTATTTTCTTATTAGTTTCTTCAATTCCCTCTATGAGTAGCTAATTTCTTAGCTAGGTTGTGACCCAACCCTAGTATGGGTACCTAATGGGTGTTTTTAATTTAGGGCTTGCTTGTGATTGGGTTAGTGATATTTAGCCTAGTTCTTACTTGAATTTAAGAATTAATGGTTGCAAATATTGATTCATGCCTAAGTGATTTAGTCTCTACTTGATAAAGAGAGACTAAGTTTAGGAAAACTTGGCTAACAAGGAATTGGGGTGAACTCAAGAAATTGATAGCCCTAATTAAAGGATTGAATCTAGAAATAGTAAGACCCGACTTGAGCATTTATCATTTATTTTGTGAATTACCCATTTGGACTTGAGAAAGCCAAATTGGGAAAAACTACTCTAACTAGCCAGAGGTATCGACTAGGTAATTGTGAGTGATTGCTATATTACATCCCAATCAATCAAACTTGCCCTAAAGCTTACAATCCGTTAGGTAACCACCTAGGTGGACGTCACGACCCTAGATCTTTTATCAACTTGAAAAACAACAACACCAAAATATCGTTCTCTAGCTTTTCATTTACAAACATTAGCAAAAAAATTAGAAGTAGAAAGAAACAACCAAACATGTGGAAGTGCATTTTGGGCAAATCATACGCTTAGTCTAGATATATACCTAATCCAATATAAGCTCTCTGTGGAGTCGACCCCGACTCACTTTTAGATAATTATAATTGCATCGACCGCTTCACAATCCCAATTAGTGGTGTGAATTTAAGGGACATCACCCACCGCTGCTTCATACGCCGAGGGCAAATGAATAGCTGTACTTATATTTGGTAGTATCCGAGATAGTGGTAAGTGGAGTCTTAGTCAGGGAAGAACAAGGTACGCAATTTCCTATTTATTATGTTAGCCGAACCTTAGGTGAGGCCGAAACAAGATATCCCCACCTAGAAAAGTTGGCGCTCACTTTGATAAGTGCCTCTAGGAAGCTAAAACCATACTTTTAATGTCACCCCATATGTGTTGTAACAACTTACCCACTTCAAAATATTATGCATAAACCCGAACTTTCAGGACGGTTGGCCAAATGGCCATAGTAATCAGCGGGTATGATATTGAATATCGACCCCGAACAACCATTAAGTCTCAAATTTTGGCAGACTTCGTGGCTGACTTCGCACCTGCCCTAGTGCCCAAGGTCGAAAGAGACTTGTTGGTAAGCTCGAATACATCCTCGGGAATCTGGACCCTCTTTACGGAGGTGCTTCGAACGTAAAAGGGTCCGGACTCGGCATCGTGCTAAAACCACCCACAGGCAACATGGTTAGGCAGTCTATTAGAACTGTGAAATTGACTAATAACAGGGTCGAGTATAAGGCCGTGATTGCAGATCTCGTACTAGCCAAAGGCTTGGGAGCGGAGGTGACTGAAGCCAAATGCGTCTCCTCCTCGTGGTGAATCAGGTTAATGGAACCTTCGAAGTTAGAGAAGAACGAATGCAAAGATACCTAGATAAGTTACAAGTAACTTTGCATCGATTTAAGGAGTGTACTTTGCAACATGTACCTCGAGATCAGAATAGTGAGGCTGATGCCCTAGCAAACTTAGGGTCATCGATCGAGGGCAGCAAGCTCAATTTGGGGGCCGTCGTGCAACTCATGAGTTTGATGGTCGAAGAAGGTCACGCCGAGATAAACTCCACAAGCTTGACTTGGGATTGGAGAAATAAATACATAGAGTATTTGAAGACCTGAAAGCTTCCCACAGATCCAAAAGAATCGAGGGCCCTGCGGACGAAGGCAGCACGATTCACCTTGTCCGAAGACGGAACCTTGTTCAGGAGAATGTTTGATGGTCCACTGGCGATATGTTTGGGACCGGGTGATACCGAGTATGTTTTGAGGGAAGTTCACGAGGGCATTTGCGAAAATAATTCCGGTGCCGAATAATTGATCCAAAAGGTAATCAGAGCCGGCTATTACTGGATCGATATGGAAAAGGATGCGAAAGAGTTTGTTCGAAAATGTGACAAGTGCCAAAGACATGCACCAATGATTCACCAACCCGGGCAACTGCTCCATTCGGTCTTGTCGTCATGGCCATTCATGAAGTAGGGAATGGACATCGTTAGACTTCTTCCATGGGCACCAGGTAAAGCTCAATTTTTTTTATTTATGACTGACTATTTTTCTAAGTAGGTTGAAGCACAGGCTTTCGAGAAAGTTAGGGAGAAGGAGGTCATCAACTTTATTTGGGACCACATCATATGTCGATTCGGGATGCCATCCGAAATTGTATGTGACAACGGGAAACAGTTCATCGGCAGCAAAGTAACCAAATTTTTCGAATATCACAAAATCAAAAGAATCCTATCGACACCTTATCATCCTAGCGGGTATGGGCAAACCGAATTGACCAACAAAACCATCATCCAAAATCTTAAGAAGAGGCTATCCAACAAGGGAAAGTGGGAGGAAATTCTGTCCGAAGTTCTTTGGGCATACCGTACAACCTCGAAATCCAGTACCGGGACTACCCCATTCTCGCTGGTTTATAGTACCGAAGCTCTAATACTGGTCAAAGTCGGAGAGCCAAATGTCAGGTTCCGATATGCAACAAAGGAATCAAATGACGAGGCCATGAATACGAGCCTAGAATTATTGGATGAAAGGCGTGAGCCGCCCTCGTCCGACTGGCTGCCCAAAAATAATAGATCGAGAGATAATACAATCGAAGAGCCAATCTTCGATATTTCAATGTCGGGGACTTAGTGCTAAGGAAATTCACCCTCAACACCCGAAATCTAAACGAAGGAAAATTAGGTCCGAATTGGGAAGGACCGTACCAGATCCTCGAGGTCACTAGGAAAGGATCCCATAAACTCGGTATGCTAAACGGGGAACCACTACCGAGCAATTGGAATGTAACTCACCTAAAACGATACTACTTCTAAGGTATGACCCCTTCTCGTTTTTATCTTTTGACTAACACTTGCAGGTGATAGACAAGATACACCCCGAAGTCTTTAGGTCTGAAAGCACGCATTGCACTCTTTTTTTCTTAGACTGATTTTGTCCTAAATGGGTTTTCAGGCAAGGTTTTTAACGAGGCAACAATGGATCGTGCTAACTTAGAATCAAAATCCGATCACGAATTGACGAGTGTCTGGCGTGTGTATAAATTAAACTCGTACTCTGTCAAATTATAGTATAGAAAGATGTCGAACCCACAGAGATTGGTTTATCTATTCTACAGACGTTTCTTGTTTTAATTACTATTTGAGAAAATTAGAAAGAGTTGAGTTGTAAATTAACTAACTAAAAATGCATAAATAGAGCAGTAGAAAATATTTTGTTTTTCACAAATATAATAAAAGGTGTTGGGATCTTGACTTCACTTAATATTTCTATTATATAGTAGAATTATTATTCTTCAATTTCTATTTCTCAAAAAGGTATAAATGCCTCTCACGATTACAAATATATATTATTACTCAAGTTGAATAATTAATTGCACTCCTCTCGGTTATACAAATTAATCTTCCAAATAGTAATACTAAAGAACCAGAAATATATGGTTGAACTAAAATATGCTCTTGATAGTAAGTCCCTTTCGGTTACCCTACTTGTTATAACTTATTATTAGACCATTCGCCTCTCTCGATTACAAATAAGTGTAAAATTAATTATAACATAAAAGAGATAGATGTTACTGAATAAATATTAACATTTATCAATACTACATTTAACTATATTATTTCTTCCGCCTCTCTTGATTACAGAATTAATAAACAGTTAATATGTAGTATAAGATAGATAGATGATAATAAATTAAANNGAACTTCAAATTCCATCAAATACATTTCGATAAAAAACCTAACCAAACACGTCCGAATGACCTGAAATTTTGCTCACACATCCCAAATGACACAACGGAGCTACTACAACTTTCGGAATTCCATTTCGGCCGTCGGATCAAAAATTCACTATCGGACCGGAAACTCCAAAAATTCAACCTTCGGCATTTCAAGCCTAAATGAGCTACGGACTTCCAAAATACATTCCGAACATGCTCCCAACCCCGAAATCACCTAACGGAGCTAACGAAACCATCAGATTTCCATTCCGAGGTCGTCTTCACACTGTTCCGACTACGGACCACTTTTCAACACTTAAGCTCTCATTTAGGGACTAAGTGTCCCAAAACTCTCCGAAACTCAACACCGAACATCCCGACAAACCAATAGCAGAACTGAAGTTAGGGGAAGCAGTTAATAGGGGATCGGGGAATAAATTCTTAAGACTAACGGCCGGGTCATCACCAAATATTAAGATCCGTCTTTCTCCCAACACAAGAAAAGTTACTCCATACTGGAACTAGTACTAACAATGGAAATATTCTTGTCCATTAAATAAGAAAATAGAAAGAAATATTCAAGAAGAATAATTCCCCCTATTTAATTAAAAGCAGGAACTAGAGTAATTTCCTACACTGGAATTTATTTAGAAACAACAACTAAACCACTATTGTGATTTAAAAGAAAAGATAACTCGATACTAGTAAAAGAAATAAAATAGAGAAGCTTATTAAGAATTTGGATTCAGACTTCTAGCTCTAAGCTTTCTCTCTACTGTGATGCCTTTCTCTGATCGGGCAACATCTTCTTATATAGGAAAATTTCATGATGACTTCTGGATTTGGTACTAGATTTCCATGGCAAATCTAGATTTTGCATTTGCAGATATGAGAATTCGTCATTCTAAGTTTAGATTTCGTCGATTTCATCATGGCAAATCTAGATTTTGCAGTTGCAGATATGAGAATTTGAATTCTCGATTTGGTGCTAGATTTCAATGGCAAATCAAGATTTTGAAATTGCAGAGATGAGAATTCTGCAATTCTAAGTTTAGATTTCATCATGGCAAATCGAGATTTGCTCCATTGTCATGGCAGTAATGAATCGTAGCTCGATTTCACACTTCTTTGTTGTATTTTGCTTCATGTTGCGCACAACAATTCTTCTATAATTATTCCTGCAAAATAAAGTTAAGAATCTGGAGGAAACATGATAATTTATATGTTTTTATGAGAGAAATTATGTGGTAAAGATTAGGTAATATGCACTTATCAAATTCTCCCACACCTAAACTTTTACTCGTCCTCGAGGAAAGAATTTAGAAGATCAGGGCAGCAAAATTTTTATTTTTATTTATTTATTTTTTTAAAATTTATTTATTTGTGTGTTTCAATTTTTTTTTCTTACAACGTTCATAACTTCTCAATAAAAATTAAGGACATTTATTTGACTTTTCAAAATTCTTTTGAACCTTCAAAAACTTGCTGTGTTTATACCTCTATTTTTACTCTGCAAATCTCAGTGCTAGAATTCTTCAACTTTCAAAATAATAAACCATAGGCTTACCTTTCTTGTCAATCTCCACTAATGTAGATCAATGCTGAATTCAGAATCTTTTAGGACTTTTATTGGCTTGTAATGTTAGGATATGGGCTGGTAGGATATAAAGATATTTCAGAGTGACTTAACTTTTTCCTGGCTTGATATTGCAAGAAAGTGAGAGCTAATTATAAGGGTTCCAATTCTACACCCTAATTATATTGCAAAAAAAAAAATGCACATATATTCTTCTTCTTTTTTCTTTTTTTTTGTTTCAGTAACTTTGTTGGATTATTTTTCTTTTTTTTTTTTTAATATACAAAATGGAGTTTGTATGAAGAATGTAATTTTCTTTTCTTCCATTTTGACTTTGGGTTATGAGGTTTGAATGAAGAAAAAAAATGATTAAGGCTCAAAGTTTGGACACTAAAGATAATTTTTATTTGGTAGGTAATAGAAAGGCTCAATCGATCCAAAGATAGCCTAATTCATTTTCCAAAATCAGCATTTTTCTAGGCGCCTTGACCAACAATAGAGGTAAGCTGTAGCTATCAAAATTCTTGATTCTCATATGCATAATTCCCCCGAAGATTAAAGATTCATTACATGGAGTCTTTACATTTGCAAATATAGAGGCACAAAGTTAGAAGTTTGCAAAAGCTCTAATGAATTTGAAATGCTCAATCTGTTTCTGCCCAAAATTTACTGATAGCTATTCATGTGTAAATTTTTTTTTTCATTTTTTTCTTTTCATTTTTTACACACATATAAAGACAAAGTTGGAAAAAGATGGCATAATAAAGTTTGCCAGAAAACATGTGTGAAAAATGCCAAACTCTAAAGTTTAAAATTGTAAGAAGAATTCAAAGTAAAGTGACAAAACATACTTTCCCACATAAAAGACCACAAAACATAATGCCAAAATACATGAGATTTGATCACACTTTCCCATAGATGTGTAAAGATTGGCATTTTCATATAAAAAGTCTCAAAGCAGAATGCCCGATTTTATGAGAATACGTCACACACTAACATTGTCACAAAGAAAAAACACAAAACAGAGACCCAAAATACATGGGAATGCATCACATTTTACCTGAGAGTTTAGCATTATATTAAAAACAACAGGTAGGACCAACCTTAACGGTAGCATCAGTTCCTTTAGGCTATTTACAAGCTGCCTTTAGTGAGTTATTTACTTAACAAAAAGAGATACCTTACCTGAGGCATGCCAAGTTATCCTCATTACCTGCTCGTTTTTAAACACATTCCAATTTCTTGTCATCTCCTCTTGTTTTAGCATTATTTGTTGCAGACAAGCAAGAATATCCGATGAGACAGTCGCAGGGGCAATGTTAGTTTCTGTTTGCATAGGTTGCACATTAGTTTCTAATTCTAGACTTTCGGAACTTGTTTGGCCATGTGAAGCTCTTCTTTCAATGCCTCGCGGAGGTTGTAATGTAGAAAGATAACTTTGATCAATAGCATAATTACTTTGAACCCTCCTAAAGTTACTCATATCAACATTAAACATTTCTGCGAGGCGAGTAATGGTTGATGGGTAAAACAGACATTTAGACTCATTTGAAAAACGACTAGCAATAATTTCATCACTAATCATTCTCCCGACATTTATAGGTAGACTTCTCTGAATTGCATACAACAACTTTACCCTTTCCAGATTGTAATTAGAGGTATTCTGATAAGGCATTAATCGAGAACTAACAAATTTACCCCATGTTCTAGCAGTTTCTAGCATACATGATCCAGCGATACTCCAAGAATTCTTATAATAACTCCTAACACCATCTGGACAGAGTTCTTTAAAAGCTTCTGCCATGAATATTTCATCTTTCCCTTCAATTTTAATTACAGTTCCTTCATCATTAATGTCCTTAAAATTATATAATTCATTCAGAACTACGGAGTTGAAGGGAATAATCTTACCGCCAATTTTCGAAGTTCTTTCAGATTTATTGATATTGGCGTAGAACTCAAGAACGATTTCAGCAACATAATCACCTGGATTCTGCACAAACCCTTCCCAACCTAAAGACCGAACATTCTCTAGAATCTTGGTTGCATGAGACCCATCTGTTGGGGAAAAGACCATTTCACCTTCTTCTGCAAAAGATTTTTTGGTCTCCAAAAATCTCTGCACTAAAGGGTCAAGATTTTCACTTTGTAAGCCCATATGTGAGAATGTTCTTTTCAAGGATGTCATTTTTCTAATCTGTTTATTTGGGTATTGAAATGGTGGAATTGATAATGAAAATATGGTGTTTGGTGAGGGTGGACTGATGATTACATGAGAAAATTACAGTGATGTGAGGTGGGTATGGTAAAGGTTTTCTTGGGAGAGAGATGAAATGGGTGAAAACTGGAACGTTTGAATTGCTCTCTTTAGTTTCTTGGATTTTGGGGTAAAATTGAGGCATTTTATTAGAAAACAAATATTATAAAATATTGTTTCCCTTGAGAACGGTGTGTCTGATTTACCCAATTAGCAAGAATCCTTATGATAATCAATTTTGTTGTGTCTAGATTTCCGTTCTCCTTTTTTTTTGTTTTTTTTTAATTTGTTATTTAAGAGCACTATATATATATATATATTGTATATATATATATATATATATATATATATATATACAATATAATATAATTTTTTTTTCTTTTAGTAAAATAAAATAAAATAAAATTAAGCATTATATAAATAAATATATATATTTTTAGAGGGAATTTTTTTTTTGAATGAGATTGGGAACAAAGTACTTATTTAACAGTAAAAATGGCTTGTCTTGAATCTTAAAATTTGTGCATCAAAATTTGAGAGTGGATTTATGACCAACCAATTAGTATTAGCTCTATGTGAGTAGCTAAATTTAGGATATTGTGTCCCTATCTCTTAGATTTCCTCCCCCGATTTCTAATCTTTTATATATATATATATAGTAGATTTACTTAGGAGCATATTATACTACACAAAATTCACATATACTTGTTGAATACATATAGAAGGGACGAAACTATTCTTACCAAAAAGTAATTTTTTTATTTTTTATTTTTTTATATAGGAAACACTAATACATATACTATATATACATATACTATATATATATATATATATATATCATCAACTCACTAATACTAACTCAAGCCTCAAATATATGTACATGTACATACTTAATTACGTTACTATTTTTATATAACTAATATTATTTAGAAAGACTTAAGAAGTAAGGATATAGTTCTAAGTTTAATATCGTCAGCTCGACTTATTATTTAATTTTTTATTTTTTTTAAGCAATAAGGATCGTTGAAACCTGTTTGTCAAATATTCTGGTGACATAAGGCTTCAGTCGATGACCATTTACCTTAAATTTTTCTCCCCCATTTATATGTTGTATTTCAATGGCACCATATGGGGTAATCTCTGTTACTGTGTATGGTCCTGTCCAACGTGACTTAAACTTTCCTGGAAATAATCTCAATCGGCTATTGTATAACAGAACATGATTTCCAACTTTAAAATCTTTATGGCGGATGAGCTTGTCATGCCATTTTTTTGTCTTTTCCTTGTACAATTTAGCATTTCATATGCTGTAAGTATGAACTCTTCCGACTCATCAAGCTGCAATAGACGATTTTTACCTACATCTGGCAAGTTTAGATTCAACAATTTTATAGCTCAATATGCTTTATGTTCTAATTCCACAGGTAAATGACAAGCTTTTCCAAAAACTAGTCTATAAGGAGATGTGCCTATGGGAGTTTTGAAAGCAGTTCTATATGCCCATAACGCATCATCCAATTTTAAAGACCAATCTTTTCGAGAAGAACCAACAGTTTTTTCTAAAATTCTTTTTAATTCTCTGTTGGAAACTTCTACTTGCCCGCTTGTTTGAGCATGATATGGAGTTCCTGTTTTATGAGTTACTCCATATTTTAACAACAAACTAGCAAATTGTCTATTTATAAAATGAGTCCCTTGATCACTTATTATAACTCGTGGAGTTCCAAATCTAGAAAAAATATTTTTCTTGAGAAAAGCACAAACAATATGAGCATCATTTTTTTTAGTAGCAATTGCTTCTACCCATTTTGAAACATAGTCAACAGCTACCAAAATATATTCATAGCCGTTTGAAGGAGGAAAAGGACCCATAAAATCAATGCCCCATACATCAAAGATTTCACACACAAAAATAGAGTTAAGAGGCATTTCGTCCCTTTTTGAAATGTTACCGATTCTCTGGCATTTATCGCAAGTGGCGACATAATTCCTTGCATCTTTGAATAGAGTAGGCCAGAAAAATCCAACTTCAAGTACTTTAGCTGCTGTCCTTCTTCCGCCATAGTGTCCTCCTGCAGCCCCATCATGGCAGTGACTTAAGATGTTGTTCATTTCTGTCTCCGGTACACATCTCCTGATTATGTCATCTGCACAAATTTTAAACAAGTAAGGATCTTCCTAGTAATAATGTCTTGCTTCTTTTTTAAGTTTTTTCTTTTGTTCATAACAAAAATCTTTTGGAATCCATCCTCCAGCCAAGTAGTTGGCAATATCAGCAAACCACGGTGGTCGATTTATAACGGTTGTGACTGAAAATATATGTTCATCAGGAAATTCCTCTTTGATATCTTTTATCTCGGTAAGAGGATTTTCCAAACGAGACAAATGATCAGCTACCTGATTCTCAGAACCTTTGCGGTCTTTTATTTTAAGATCGAATTCTTGCAAAAGGAGTATCCATCTTAGCAATCTGGGTCTAGCATCTTTCTTCGCTAAAAGGTATTTTAAAGCTGCATGATCAGTATAAATTGTAACCTTTGTTCCTATCAAATAGGAACGAAATTTGTCAAACGCAAATACTACTGCTAGTAGTTCCTTCTCAGTTGTAGCATAATTCTTTTGAGCTTCATTGAGGGTATCTTGTCTCTCTTTTGTCCCAATATTGCTCCAACTGCTATATCACTTGCATCACACATTATTTCAAATGGTTCGCTCCAATCAGGAGAAACAATAATTGGAGCATTAGTCAAATGTTCCTTGAGAATCTCAAATGCTTTTCTGCAATCATAAGAAAATTCAAACTTCACATCTTTCATCAGTAGGTTAGTAAGAGGTTTTGTAATTTTTGAAAAATCTTTTATAAACCTTCTAAAAAACCTGCATGCCCTAAGAAACTTCTAATGCCTTTAACAGTGGTAGGAGGGGGTAATCCTGCTATAAGATCAATTTTAGCCTTATCAACCTCTATCCCTTTAGCAGAAATTTTATGTCCTAAAACAATTCCCTCTGTTACCATGAAATGACATTTTTCCCAATTAAGAACTAAATTTGTCTCTTCACATCTTTTAAGCACCAGAGTTAAATGATAGAGACAATCTTCAAATGTTTTACCAAAAAGTGTGAAATCATCCATAAATATATCAAGAAACTTTTCAGTCATATCTGAGAAAATTGCTGACATGCAACGCTGAAATGTAGCAGGAGCATTGCATAGTCCAAATGGCATTCTTCGGTAAGCATACGTACCTTGGGGGCATGTGAATGTGGTTTTCTCTTGATCTTCTGGAGCAATTGGTATCTGATTATACCCAGAATATCCGTCAAGAAAACAGTAAAAACCATGGCCTGCAACTCTTTCAAGCATTTGATCAATAAAGGGCAAAGGAAAATGATCTTTCCTTGTGGCATCATTAAGTCGTCTGTAATCAATACAGACTCTCCATCCTGTGACTGTTCTAGTGGGTATGAGTTCATTATTTTCATTTTTTATTACTGTCATACCTCCTTTCTTTGGTACTACTTGTACAGGACTTACCCAAGGACTGTCAGATATTGGATAAATGATACCTGCTGCTAGAAGTTTAACCACTTCTTTCTTGACGACTTCCTGCATTGCTGGGTTTAGTCTCCTTTGGGGTTGGACTATTGGCTTATAATCATTCTCCATAAAAATCCTGTGCATACAAATAACTGGACTGATTCCTTTAATGTCAGCTATAGTCCACCCTAAGGCTCTTTTGTATTTTCTCAAGACTCCAATCAATTTGCTTTCCTGTTCTATAGTCAAAGAAGATGAAATGATTAGTGGAAATAATTCAGGTTCAAGAAACACATATATTAAATGAGAAGGAAGTTCTTTGAGTTCAATTTTTAATTGTACTCCTTCTTGTGAGACTTCCTTATTTTCTGACTCTTTTTCTAGTATTTCAGCTTGTTCTCTAATTACGGGGTTATCATCACTTATGGTACCTGACCTAGCCAAACATCTCTCCAATTAATCAGTAATTAACTGATTATCTTTGTATTCATCTACGAGGTCATCTAGTAAGTCAATTTGAAAACAAGATGATGATGACTCATCCCCAAGAAATTTCATCATTTTCTGCATGTCAAAATCACTTTCCTCATCAACTCGCAAAATTAATTGTCCTTGATGGACGTCAATTATCGCTCTTCCTGTTGCAAGAAATAGTCTGCCTAAAATCAATGGCACCTCAGTATTTTCTTCCATTTCAAGTAGTATAAAATCTACAGGGAATATAAATTTATCAACTCTAACAAGGATATTTTCAATAATTCCTTTTGGTCTCTTAGTACTTTGATCAGCTAATTGAAGAGACACACCAGTATCTTTTATTTCACCAAGTTCTAATTTCCTAAAAATTGAAAAAGGCATTAGATTTATTGAAGCACCTGAATCACATATCGCCTTTTCAAAGTGAGTACCTCCCACGGTACAAGGAATTGTAAAGCTTCCCGGATCACCAAGTTTCCGAGGGAGCTTATTTTGAAGTATAGCACTAGATTTTTCTGTAAGCTTAACCACTGAAACTTCTTCCAATTTTCTTTTGCTTGACAAAATTTCTTTGAGAAATTTAGCATATGAAGGCATTTGTGTCAAAGCATCTGTGAAAGGTATGTTAATGTAAAGTTGCTTCAAAATATCTAGAAACTTTGAAAACTGTTTGTCAAGCTTTTCTCTTTTCATCTTTTGGGGAAAAGGGAGAGGTACAGAGTGAGGATTTGTTATCAATTCATTTTCTTGTACATTTTTTCCTTTATTCTTTTGTTCTTTTGCAAACTTAGATTCTATTTTATTCTCACCTCCATTTACCTTTTCCACTTCTTGTGGCTTTCCTTCTCTATCTGCATATGGATCATCAAGAGATTTACCTGATCGT